AAAGCTGAAAATCGTAGTCAGACAAACCCAAAAATATCTAATTGAAATCTTGATTGACAAAAAATTCGATGAGGCAAAAATTCCAACAAATGAAAAAGAGTATAAATAATTTGGAGTACTAAATTACTACCTCGTTAAAGTCTTGTCAAGAAAATTCATTGGAACAAAACTTGATTAAAAGAATAAGAGCACTGCTACTCTCCTGATTGCAATTCTTCTATAAAGCGATCAATATCTTCTATGTCAATGTCTTTAATATTGATGTGTTGTACGTCAATGTCCTCAAGAAAATCCAGTGAAATAAAACTTGATAACTATAGTGACATGATGGTCGAAAAATAGCTCATGTTGATCTATTTAGGAGTTTTGTAAATATAAAAGCATTATTTTGAGGGTAAATGTTTTGTAGATTTTGGACATTCATCACACAAATAATATACCTCATTAAAATCTTTAAAAAAAACCTTGTGGGAAAATTTCTAATGAAAGAAAAATAGTACATTATTCTTTTGAATAAACCATGCATAAAAGTATTTCATTAAAAATCTTGTCAAAAAAATTCAGTGGGACAAAACTTTGGTCAAGGGGAAAAAAAGTACAATGCGTATTTACTCCCCCTCGTAGTAATATCACTTGAATTATGCTTCAAGCATATTAAATCTTTCAATGTAACATTAATAGTCATGCCAAAAGAATTGGTTATAGTTAAATTTATTATATGCATATCAAATTCCATTCATTGTCTGACTAATAAAACAGAGACTCGTGGTTCTATCCACCACATAATAATTTATCTATTTATACAAGTCTTTGTGAAATTCATTATATAAAGAGTCGTACATTTCATATTACGACTTTACATTTTTTCATTTTCATTTCGCATAAGTATATACTTTTAGTTGTTTAGACATTAGATCCATAAACTTCAGGTTTTTTTAGTAAATTCAATTTCATTAGAATCGCGTCTAGAAATTTCAGGTTTCTCTAGTAAATTCTTTTACTAGGATCGCGTCATTTTATTTGACCAAATATTTATTCGATCGATATATTTCAATGAATTTATTTCGATTCATCGAT